ACAGTATCTGTTCATATTTCAACAAAATTTGCAAGATGTAGTCGAAAAAATTAGAGTTTCTGCTGAAAAATCACCCACAACACACTGGACATATTCGCAAAGACTGAATACAAAAGCAAAAATTTGCTAATTTCAAATGACCTCCACAATCCGCGGACATGAATCTCATTGAGAATCTGCGAAAACAACTAAAAGCACAGCTTACTAAGTATCGAAGTCCGTAAAATCGAGTACATAAGCTGTGAAAGCAAATTAAGGGTATACCTCCAGAATTTTTACAGAGATACAAATAAGGTAGCCCAAATCGTATCCAGGAACTGAAACAAGCAAAAGAGTACTGAACATTGTGTTAGTAGTTCTTTTTTTCGTGAAAATTGTTAAAAAGTTCTTAAAAATGTATGAGTGCAAAACTGTAACATATGCCTTAATTTACATATTTTTCTGCTGGTTTTTTTATTGTTGTTGTATTGACTTCAAATCGTTATGAGAGAGGGAGTAGGGATGTAACAACGAGAATATACAACAAAAGTATGAAACTCGTTAGAACTTGGGAAGATAGCGATAACTGAAGTAAAAAGTGTTACACCATGTTACAGTTTTGCCCGTCACTGTACATAAATTTACGCGACGCCCAAACCAGCGCCATTCACAATTTGAAGTTGTCAGTTTCCTTGGCGTCACTGCGTCACTGCTGCAGCAGTTAGTGATCGAGGGGGGCGTGCAGGGAGGCGCATGAAAAACACCGTTCCGTTCGCTGTCGCAGCATCAAGTCGCCGCTATGTTTAGCCTGCCTCACCTCAGCTAGAGTTTGAGTTGGTGTAATTTTCATTCACGTGAATGCGCGTATTTCATATAGACAAAAGAGCCCAGTCTCTGCACTGTCAATGTGGGCGTAGACCACAACGCCAACTTTCGGCCCACATTATTTAGCCAAAATCATTACTCCTTTTTGTTTTTCTCTTTGCGCTTGTTGATGAGATTTTTATTTAACTACTTTATTATTTTTTCTTTTTTTTTTTTTTGTCTTAAAGTGTGCATTGCGCGCACGCTCGTCTAGTTTTTAAGTCGTTACACATGCGCGCATTAACAAGACATATTAACTGACCTGCTTGCAGTTGTTTTAACGTATGTATTAATTTCCTACTTGTGTACGAGTGTAATGACAGATTAAGGCAATAGCATTTTAGTAGCTAGCTAAAAGTGTATTACTCAGTCTAGTGTCTTATGCAGCTGGAAACTATAAATACATACATTAATATGTATGCAATTAGAAGATATCCGTTGAGAAGATTATCTCATTTTCGCAAAATTTTGTGTACGTTTGCTAAGGCTTCAAGGGTGAAAGCTAACAGACAGGTATTGCCTATGTACTAGGCATATCGATTAAGGTATGTAGAAGTGATGCCGACAGTTCTCTCTTTCCACATATTTTATCTAAATTTTTTCTCTAAATATTTTGTATTGTTCGACACTTTGGTCAGCTACAAAGAGAGCTAAATTTTGGTGTTACTTCTACCCAGGGACCGAAAAAAAAGGTATGATCGAAACTACATTTCATCCTCGTAGATTTATTCCCATGAACGTTTAAAACCCTAAACCAAAAAGAGAACAAAACTTTGGGGAATGTTTACACAAGAACGAAAGTGATAACAAAACTGTCGACAATGTTCTCATCATGCCCGTCCTTTTATATGGCGGCGCAGACGCAAAGATGAGAAGGCTTTGGTGGCTTCATTTTGTCCCGGTTAAACTGCTCTCAATACTTTTTTTTTGTGCTTGTTTCTTTTGTAAGAACGTTCTCGGTATTACATTTTGTTCTCGTGCAGAAATACACCAAAACCGGAACGCGTTCAAAACGAAATTTCTATGATTGCCAGTTTTAAAATCAATTTTTCTCAGGTATAAAAAATTAACTCAAGCTGAGAACAAATTAAATATCTGAGCGAACTAGTGTGCTGGTTTACAGGTTTTTTGGGGACTATCTCCAGTAAAATGAGCTCAGTCTAAAGTTAGTCATAAAGAAGGAAATCAAGAGAGAACAACCTTTACTGACTCCACTGCTATTTAGCGCCATGGAGTCATTGAGGCGAAAAACCCTACCAAATTTATAAATTTTTTAAAACCTAAAACTTAAGCTACCACGATATTGGCTTGCCTTCCCAAATAAGGCCATATGGCTTCTACTATCTAGACTACTTGGCACTCTTCTTCTTGTTATTATTTGGCACTTGAACCGTGTGTACGTTTGGGGCGAGACCAAAAACTGCACTAATTACCGCTCTCACTTTTTCCATTCGTTCACACCAGCTGCAAACGGATCCTGCATTTGCCCTTCTATTGTTCTCATATTCGGTATTTGTAGGTCTCCCACGCGAACTAAGTCATATATTTTGCTTGAAACTATTCGCTCTCCAAAGCTCCCAAAGCCTTATCAACTTGGTTCGTCATCGTTCATGCTTCTGTGCCGTGTAGAATGATGGGAGTGTTGAGAGAATTTTGATCCTCGGGGGAGGACTGTGTTTTTCAATTGCCTATCTACANGAGGCGAAAAACCCTACCAAATTTATAAATTTTTTAAAACCTAAAACTTAAGCTACCACGATATTGGCTTGCCTTCCCAAATAAGGCCATATGGCTTCTATTATCTAGACTACTTGGCACTCTTCTTCTTGTTATTATTTGGCACTTGAACCGTGTGTACGTTTGGGGCGAGACCAAAAACTGCACTAATTACCGCTCTCACTTTTTTCCATTCGTTCACACCAGCTGCAAACGGATCCTGCATTTGCCCTTCTATTTTTCTCATATTCGGTATTTGTAGGTCTCCCACGCGAACTAAGTCATATATTTAGCTTGGAACTATTCGCTCTCCAAAGCTCCCAAAGCCTTATCAACTTGGTTCGTCATCGTTCATGCTTCTGTGCCGTGTAGAATGATGGGAGTGTTGAGAGAATTTTGATCCTCGGGGGAGGACTGTGTTTTTCAATTGCCTATCTACAGGTCGATATTATCGGTGCAATAATCCTGCCTTTATTCACTCACAAGCATTGCTGCGTCTGAGATGGGCAGCTCAGATTGAAGAAAAATCTGGTTTGGTCTCGAAGGGCGGAGAGAGGTTCTTCTCAAATTGCACGGAACTTAAAGTTGTGCTCAGCGTAACTCGAAATAGTCGTATAAGTTTTGAAGCTATAACTAGTAAGCTCTTTAAAGATGTCATATGTTCAACAGTTAGCGTCGTAACTGCTTCAAATCCATAACGTATTAAAAATAATTATCCAATACACGACTGTTGTTGATTGTCATTCCATGATACGCATCTAAGATTGACAGCATCTTTATTATAAAAAAATATTCAAATAATAAATGTACATATGTTCATATGTATATGTATATGTATGCAATTCTTCCACTTTTATCACCATTTAGCTGTGTGCTCACGCACAGCCTTTAAAGATGTCGCAGCGCATGTCTAAAGCTCAAAACATTTTGTTAAGTCTTCCAAAATCGATGTACCACTTGTATTAATGCCTTTGGCAACTGGCTAAGATTGACATTTAATTTTTTATGTCATTACCAAGAAAATTACCATATCTCCAGATAGTATGTAGGTATGTATTAAACGATGTACAAACTCGTATACATTCCTACCTGTTTGTTACCTGTCTGCATGCGTCTGCTTTATTGTTCTTATATGTACATACATATGTGTATGGCAAAAAAGTCTGCCCGTCGCCGCTGCCATTATTGACGCCGCACCGTGTCGTCTGTCTGTCCTGGTTGTAAGTCTGGCTTTCAATTTGTCACTACTCTTATTGAAGGCTAAGCGGTGCCTTAGTATACACACGACTACAGACACGGGCCATTCACATTTATGTGGAGTTTGCAAATACATATGTAAGTACATATATGGACAGTTTTTGGCATAGTGCCACAAGCCTTTGCTTTAGCTGCGTCTTTTTCTCGTCTTTAGACTCATTGTGTCTCTTCGACCTCGTTACTTGAGAACTTGCTACAGCCATTGGATTGTTTTTGCCTGTGGCTCCAGCTTATTTATGCTTTGTTTTTAAACTCTCATACTTTTGTTGTAAATATCTTTGCCAAACCCACATTCGTGATATATTTTAGGGAAAGCAGATGCTTATCAGAACCAAGGGAAAACGGAAAAGCGTGCCTACAAGCTTAATAATTCCGCTTGAACGCTTCAACTCAAATAAACCGATTTTCCGTTTTCACTTAGCTTCTAAGCGCTGCTAGCCTAGGAAAGTATAAGTTAGCGTACTATCACTTCATTTATCTTGCAAATCTTTTTGCNCGAACGCTTCAACTCAAATAAACCGATTTTCCGTTTTCACTTAGCTTCTAAGCGCTGCTAGCCTAGGTAAGTATAAGTTAGCGTACTATCACTTCATTTATCTTGCAAATGTTTTTGCCATATTTTCCAACCTCTGCCTTCTACTGATCATGCAGCAAAATCATTTCCGCATTTTTACTGTCATAAATCTTTCGAAACCGTTTCACGTACTCCACCTTCGATTTTTCCCATTTCTACTCATCTCAACAGTTCATTCATCTCCAGCATGCTAAGTTCATTCATTAATTCTCATTCATCACGCTCGAAGATCTTTCACCGTTTCTTTTTCTTCTTTTGCATCTTTTCAGAGTGCCAGTGCAGCCCGATCGGCGCCATTGCTGCCTCATGTGACAAGCGTACCGGTCAATGCGCCTGTCTGGCCAATGTTACCGGCCGGCGTTGCGACAAATGCAAATCAGGTCATTGGAACCTCACGCAAGGCGTCGGCTGCCATGACTGTCGTTGCGATCCAGCCGGTTCGCGCAGCCACGAATGCAATCCATGGACGGGGCAATGTGATTGCAAGATCGGTGTAGGCGGCCAACATTGCAACGAGTGTACGGACGGTTTTTATGGCTTCTCCACGGACGGCTGTCAGCGTTGTACGCAGTGCGCGGGCGAGGGACAGGTTTGTGATCCGTTGAATGGTCGCTGCATCTGTCCGCCGAACAGTCGTGGGTTGGGTTGTGCGCAATGTGTGGCCGGTACATGGGGTTGGCAACCGCGTCTTGGTTGTCGCAATTGTGCTTGCGATCGTATCGGTTCCATCGGCCAGCTGTGTGAGCCGGCGCACGGACAGTGCCAGTGTCGCGAAGGCTATGCAGGACGGCAGTGTGACACGTGTGCCATTGGTTACTTTGGTTATCCGGAGTGCAGGCGTTGCAATTGCAATGTAGATGGTTCGTTTGTGCACGCAGATGGCTCGATTACCTGCGATGCGAACGGGCAGTGTCCGTGCAAGACACTGGTGGTTGGACTCAAATGTGACACGTGCATGAAGTCGACCTTTGGCCTGTCGGCGCTCAACCCGGAAGGTTGTACACGTTGCTTCTGCTTTGGCCGTTCGAGCGAGTGTGAGCAAAGCGAATGGTCGTGGGGACACATACGCATGGCGGAGGCACGCAATCTGAGCGTTCAGTACATACGACCACAGTACGTTACGAATACGGAGTATGAGTATATTGTAGTGGTACAGATGGCGGGCGCAAAGAGTTATCGCGAGGATGCTGAAATACATCTGCTTAACGATCTGAATTTGATACCGCGTTCTACGGGCAACGTGTCGATTGGCGCCTACACGAACTTCTATCATCCACTCTACTTTCAACTGCCACCGCAATTCTATGGCGATCGCACCAGCAGCTATGGTGGTTACTTGTACTTTACGCTGTTCATTGAGGGCGCCAACCGACCGCTGGAGCGCAAGGTACTCTCACGCTTTCCGTTGGTGCAAATACATTCGCACAAGAAGTTGGTGCTCGACTATTACGAATATGAGAATTACGAGTATGCGCTGAATGTGACCTACAAAGTGCCGCTGCATGAGTCCGAGTGGAAGTACCATCACAACAATCAGCCAGTGGATCGCGCTACCTTGATGGCGGCCCTGCAGAATGTGAGGCATATTTTTGTGCGCGCCTCGGCTTTCGCGGACTTCACGGAAGTAGTGTAAGTATGAAACAAAACATTTTGGCGGGTTTTAAGTGCGAATTTACATGCTAACGAAACGCCGAGAAAATATAGTGGGCGAATCTTCGAAAAGATAAATCTAAAGTAGTTATAAGCAGTTTCCTGGTGCTTTGAAGTATGTCAAAACTACTAACTTTTTCTCGAAGTAGGCGCACACAAAACTTATCGACCCACAAAATTGGGTTTTCCATCAGTTTACGGTTTGAGTCCACTGCCAGGGTTTAGTGGTTTAATGGCGTCTCCGAATCAGGGACCTTTTTTGGATCGCTTTGCTTTTAATATCCTCGTTTTTCAGTCTCTTCAACGTCCACATGGACTCAGCAATTTACGTCTACGGCTCTACGAATATGATAGCTAAAGGCGTAGAACAATGCAAATGCACGAAACGTTATGATGGACTCTCGTGTCAGGATCCTGGAAAAGGCTACTACCGTTTTCGCAATGTCACTGAAATTGAGACTGTATTCATAGAGGATCTCATCGGACGTGTTGTGCCATGCCATTGTAATGGACGCAGTAATGAATGCGATCGTGAGACGGGTGTATGCTTGGTGAGTATTAATTACATGGGGTATTTTACCCGTAGCCAATTAAGTAANACCATGCCATTGTAATGGACGCAGTAATGAATGCGATCGTGAGACGGGTGTATGTTTGGTGAGTATTAATTACATGGGGTATTTTACCCGTAGCCAATTAAGTAATCTTGTGTCTCGAATTTTCTTCTTCCTCTATTTCGTATAGAATTGTCGCGATAATACAGGGGGTGGTCACTGCGAACAATGCGCTGAGGGCTATTATGGTGATCCCAACTCCCCATATGGCTGTCAGGCGTGCCCCTGCCCAGAGACAAGTCGGAACTTCGCCAAAGGCTGTAACGTTTGGCAAGGCGAGGTTAGTTGCATTTGCAAACCCGGCTACACCGGCAAGCTGTGTGATCGCTGCCGTCCTGGCTATTATGGCAATCCACTTGCCTATCCCAATAGCACCTGTCAGCCATGCAATTGTAATCTGGATGGCGCTACTAATGGTGATTGCGATAGTCAGACGGGGCAATGCCAATGTCGGCCGGGTGTGGCCGGTCTGAAATGCGATAGATGCATAGCAGAACGTAATTATTTAGAGGAACGCGGTTGTCGAAGTGAGTATATTGCCTACCATAGTGAACTTCACCACCACTCAACGTGGTGTACATCTCTTCCATTCCAGTTTGCGACAACTGCACACTGCTTCTATTGGACTACATCGAGCTGATTGGCAATAAACTTCGCCGCGGTTTGCACAATATGGATCTCACTGGCATACCAGCGCCCTATCTGAAAGTTGAGGACTACGAGCGCGTCTATAATACGCTCCAAATTCACTACGAAGACTACACAAATGCGCGTAAGCTGCTCGGCAGCTATGATGCCAACGAGTTGCTAAAGATCGACTCACACGCTGAGAACAATAAATTTCAATCGCGCAAAGCGCTAGCCACAGCGAGTAAGCGCAGGGAGTCTACTGCCGAACTGCGCAACGAAGTCACAACTCTTTATGTTGATATAGGCGCTTTGCGTTCCGATATTCTGAAATATATTTTCACGCTCAACAACTATGGCAAAAGTGAGCAGCACATGAGCCTGCCGATGGCTTTGGATCAAGCACGCTTCTATTTGGACTCAATCAGACAGCACGAGGAGACCGTGAATAGCATACGCAATTCCACGCAATGCGCCTGGCATTTTTACTATCACTTTGGTAACGCTTCGGATGCGGCATTCGATCAGAAAGCTCGCGTTGAGATGTTTTGGCGCGACTTNTAATTCCACGCAATGCGCCTGGCATTTTTACTATCACTTTGGTAACGCTTCAGATGCGGCATTCGATCAGAAAGCTCGCGTTGAGATGTTTTGGCGCGACTTGAATCAAACGAATTTTCGCATATCCGATATGCGACTGCACGCCGATCGTACGGTAGAGATGCAAAACGAGATCGAAGACACACTGGAGCATGTGGTGAATTTGCGCAATCATGTTGCGGAAGATTATACTAAAATCAGGGAAGTTGGCGCTGAGGTAATGGACTACTTAAATGAGAGTTTGATACCACGCACGGACATTTTCATTGAAGAAACCTGGGCGCAACAAGAGCAATTGAGTGGTGTAACCGATTCGATTGATAGGCTCTTCGAACAGTTGAATATTTCGTTGGGCGATAATGAGGGTATGCAGCGTGAAGTACGCAAACATTGGCTGCCAAAAGCGCAGAAGCATGCAGAGAGATTGATGGAGCGTTCGAATGAGTACGCCAGACAATTTCAGCCGACGAGAAATGGTGCGAAAATCGCATTGTTGGCGAGGTTAGTAATATAGGTATCGGGATAGGGAATTTAATAGGGTTCGAGGTCTACTCCAATCCAGCGATTCATCGCAAAATATACTTTCATCTACTTGGCCGATAAAAATTTCATAAACCAAGAGCATCGTCGCTACATAAGCTACGGATTAGTCTAAACGGTACAGGCAGCCCAAGTAGGGAAAGTAGACTGCGTGCTGCTGCAAAATGAAACGTTTTAGACTTATTCAAATACCGAAAGGCCCAAACTTTAATTTCATCCTCCTCTGTGTTCTTTATATTAAGTACTATTTCTCTATTTATTTCCACATTGCCCAATCAGCTCTGCGCACAAAAATATTTCCGATGCCATAGACGCTGCACGCCAAGCCTCTTTAGAAGCAAACGAACGCGTTTCGGAGGCGCAACGAAGGCTTTACCCCAACGACGGTAGCTCTATGATTGAACGTGCCAGGATTTCACTTGACAGATCCAAAATGCTGCAAAAGGAAGCGCTGGACGAAATGGAAAGCACGAATGGTGAGTATGCATTACATTTGTGGACTTTCAAAAGCAGTACAGTTTCCTAAACTTGCTTCTCTCCTTTCCTTAGCCCTTAAGCAAAAGCTCAAAATACACGAAGACAAAGTAGAAAGCATAAAGGCAACGATCTATGATGCGGGTACGCGCACCAACAATGTCTCAGCACATCTGCACGCCGCTGCCAACAACTCGGCGCGTAAGTTGGCTATGGAGAGTATGGAAATGGCTAAGAGCATTAGCGAAGAAATGCGTCACGAGCTGCAAAAAGCTAGACGCATGCATGAGGAGATTTTGAAGTTGCGTGCAAAGTTTGCCATCTTGGAACCGGATTGGGAAATAAAGCTAGGCAGAGCTGAGGAGAATATATCGCTCACCAAAACCAATATTCGCTTAGCCAACATTTCGCTCTCTTACGTGGAAGAGCAATCACAAAAGGAGACGGCGAAATTCGATGAATGGAATAATACAATGGCCAGCCAGGTGCAGGAAATACGCGATAAAATCGCCAAAGCCCGACACGCAGCCGAGGGCGTAAGACACATATTTATTGTTAATACTAAGAAACATACCACCAACTCATTTTTTGCTTTTCAGATCAAAATTTCCTTGGAATCACTCAATCCAAAATGCATACGCACTTACCAACCTAACACCTATGGGCTCACCACCTCGAATACTATTAAAATATCATTTGCTTTGCCCAACCGTAATGGCAACTCGCCACTGTTGCACATACAGGGCAGTGATGGCCGCTACATTGCACTGGAACTCTATAAGCGGCACGTGCGTTTACTTTGGAATCTTGGCGGCACCACCACCATCATAACACATCCATTGGAAGTGCAAACGCGTGATCCTAAATATGATGACGCCTGGTACCACGTAGAAGCGAATCGCACGCTTAATATCGGCAGCCTTTTGGTGCGTCGCATGAACAACTATGGGTCGCTTGTGCCTGGACAAACGGTCACTGGCAACACAGACGCTGCCTACACGCGTTTCTTCCAAACGCACAACGAACGCATATATCTTGGCGGATATCCGAGTGATATGTCACAGAAGGAGATGCAACAAAGCGCCGGACTCAATGTGGTTGTGCACAATGTGGAGGTGGATAATCGGCCGCTGGGTATATGGAACTTCATAACGAGCGAGGGACGTTGTGGTGGTGCAATTATCGGCGCGCGAGAATCAACGTCGATCTCGATAGCGCGTCACTTTAATGGTCTGGGGTACGCTGAGGTGAAAAAGTCGCGGCTGCGATCGTATAGAATGAATTTGTTCGCGGTACAAATGACCTTTAAGACGCTGGACGAGAATGCACTACTATTTTTGGCGGTTGATGACAAGAATGTAAGAAAAGAACCAATTAATATTTGTATGCTACCCTAATTACTCTCCCTCTCTTTTTTTGGCAGAATCGCTCCGTCTCAGTGACGCTCAGTCGTGGTCGCATTATGTTCCGCATTGACTACGGCGACGAATCGAAGTTGGAAATAAATACCACCAACAAGTACAACACCGGCAAATGGGTTAAGATTGAGGCAGCGCGCGAGTTCGTGCCCAAGCGCGGCACCGAAAATGGCATTTTGCGCGTGAACAATGAGCGTGCCATAACCGGCTCACCAACGGTGCCCATCAAGAGTCACATGTTACCCGATTTGTCCAAGCCCGTCTACTATTTGGGTGGCGTGCCACCAGGTGAGAAAAAAAGTTTTAATTTAAAAATTTTAATTACATATGTATATGTAAATATTTCTGTTGCTAATTGCTTACTCATCTGCTTTGCTTAGGCTTCAAATCGGGCACTTCTAAGGCGCCTGGCGCGGACAATCCCTTCTTGGGCTGCATGAAAGACGTGCAAGTCAACAGAGAAACCTACGATCCGCTCGGCAGCTCCTCACACTTCGGCGTAGAGGCGTCCTGCAAAGAAATAATTACGAAGTATGTAGGGATTTGAATTGTATTTAGTCGAAAACATTTTTTATATTCGCTAAATTCTCATAAATCTCTTTATCTTCACAGAGCCGGCTTCACAGGTCAGGGCTACATCGAATTACCCTCACAATCGCTACGCAAGCGTGCCAACACTGGTTTTGTCTTCCGCACTCTACAGCCCGATTGCTTGCTGTTACTCTCTGCCTATCCGCCGGAAGTTGCTGAAGACTACGACGACAAAGACATCAAAGGCAACTATTCGATTAGTTTAATCGATGGCCACCTACAAGTATGGATCAATTCTGGGCGCAGTCTTTTGAAAATAATTTCAAATAACACACTAAACGATGGTGAATTCCATGTGGTGAATTTGATAAAAACTGGTCGCAAATTTGAATTGATTGTCGATGATGAATTGCAAGATACAAAGATTTTGTCGGGCGCGCCCACAATTGTCAGCATGCCGCGTGATGCTGGTGGCCTGTATATTGGTGGTGCACCACCCTATGAGGAATTTACGCCATTGGCGCCGACATTTATCAAATTGGAGGGCGCTATTCGTGATGTGGTTTTCAATAACCACACCGTCAATTTAAATCAGGCAGTTGCGTTTTCGAATGTGCAAATCGGACGAAATGGTCCACCTATGGGCACAGTAAATGGACTGATCGATGTACTGCTAAAGACTGAACCAATGATTGGAAAGAGTTTTACCGCATCGCCAGAGGGTTGTTTGAGGGTGAGTACTAACTAATAAATGATATTAGTGTATGGTGTTATGAATTTTTGGTGCTTTTAAAAAACACATACTTATGTACTAAACAAATAACTCGTTAGGCATTATAAATAAACAGAAATATTTCAATATACGTAGATGCATTATAAAAGTATAAAAGAATCAGAAAACTTGTAGTAAAACTCGTTCGAAATTCCCAAAATATTTTTCATAAAACTTCACCACAAACTAGTCCATATAATTTTTTTGAGAAATGATCAATCCAATACTTTAGCGCCGAAATTCATGAGAAAAAAATCAAAAGCTTTATAAACGGAATCAGTGATCGGATGAAATTCGATATGAAACTTCATTTTGAGATAACGGCACCCGATAGAGACTTTGCTTTTTTAGTACAAATTGTATTGGAGAGAAAACAGGTGTTATTTTATTTCATTGAATTCGAAAAGAGTGGTTATGCTGTAACGGATGCCCTAATTTGGAACCAGAAAAATTTTATGATAATTAAAACCATAACACACTTCTTTTCTGTCAGTTCCGATTTCAGGCAATACATCTTCTCTAAAAATATCTAGTAATGGAAACCTCATTTCATTCCTTTCACAATATTTGCCTAAGCGCCTTTATACTACTTGAGCAGTTAGGAGCCGTGTGAGGCTGAATGGCAAATCGATATAAATTACTTATAGACTTCACTCTTTTTCCAACATGTCCAACTTCAGAAAAATAGTAGTCTTTTAATTTTACTAGTGTCTTTTCGAGAGCATATTTTCGGGAACTAGACCCATTCTAACTGTCCAAGACAGGTGTGTAATTAAGGGAATGTTCCCCAATAATACCAGAGTAATACAAAAGTAACAAATCCCCTTAGTTTTGTAGCTGGATGGAGAATTCACCATTATAATTCAACTAGGTATCATATTGCCAATTTAAATCATTAACATGTACACTTCTGGTCACACTTTATTAAATGTTTATATTTTTTTATAAAAGTTTAGCACTTTACCTAGCCAGCGCCCCATAAATCTTTTGCTTTTATAAAAAAATATAAACATCAAATAAACAAAAGAAAAATAGCCAAAACTAGTCAAAATGTCACTTGACTTAGTCAGCTGACCACAAGGGTATATGAATCGAACTCTTATGTATGTGAACTTAGCTTAGGTGATAATCAGAGCTGATCTTCATAATTAAAGCAAGGTAATGCTAGAGCATAGACAGACAGCAGCATTTATACGGACCATCTCGTTAATTCGGAATTATTAGAATGATTAATTAGAGTTACTTCTTAAACCTAATGTGGATCAGGGACATTTCCGATGACAACACTGACCGAAACGCAGAGAACATAAAAACCTAGAACATGCAAAATTATTCAGGACATCTAAATCGTTGGCAGACAGGAATCTATTTCATTAGTAGGGTTTATGCGCAACCGGCTAGGAGTTCGTTTTGCATGCTCTCTGTATTCTACGTTTTCTCAGCAAACAAAGCGCCCGAGCTTGACGTCCGCGGAAGCGGAGTGGACACAAATGTGTACTACAACTCAGTAGCACCCAGGTTCGATAGCCACACCGAGCAATTTTTAAAAATCAATTCAATTTTTTTTTATTCTCATTTGTGTTATTTTAATTATGTATATATTTTTTTATATTGCTTTATTTCTTTTTTTGTTTTATGTTCTTCACATAATTATTTCAAGTTAATTTAATTCTTTAGCAAAAAAAAAAGCCGTAACATTAAGTTACATTAAAAAAAGTAAAAGCAACGATTCCAAAGCAAAAAGTTTGCTGGCCAAGGTATTCGAACCCACGACTTCGCGGCTCGTTTATCCGGCAATACTGCCATCTGTCAGGGTACAATTTTGATAAGAATAGCTACGCCGTTGATCCGGATTAACGTTGCCGTCTGTCTATATGCTTGCATTACATAAAAAAGTAGTTTTTAGTTGGAAAATCAGAAATCAAATGGATTTGCTCGACAAAACAATTCGCAAACACATTTCATTATTTATTTGCCCGACTAATCAAGTCACAAATAAATTTGATTTTTATGATTTGATTCATCGGAAAAAAATTCAATTAACTTGTGATTCGTCGGGCAAATAAAAAATAAAATTTACATATTTACCTCTGGCCTTTTTTTAAAGTTGGTCGGAGGTCATTCTCAATCTTGGTATCGACTTTTCCTAAGAGTTCTTTGAAATTAAGTCGTATGATATCTACAATTTCAGAATCTTTACTAGTGCTGCACATTCAATCTCGCGAGTTTGCTGTCCATAATAACACCAAGATATTTTTGTTGTTGCCCGAAGCGTTAGTGTAGTATTCCCTAGTAGACCAGATCGAAATCTTAAACTTTTTTGTGAAAAAGTGCAGACTCGGTCTTGTCTTAGTTCCCATTAGGTCTTTAGTTCTTCGTTTTCGAACACCTACTGGGATATAATAAGGGCAAAGCATTCTGCATATGCAATTAGTTTACTGGATTTCATCTAAATCAGTTACATAAATATTTTTGAAGTGAAACTTCTTAATCGAGTTCGGAGATGGTTGCGTTAAATATTTAACACCAAGTCATAAAATCTGTATCGTTCGTTCGATTTTTAAAAATGAGGTGTCACATGAAAGGCCTTGTCCTTCGGGTGTACACCATAGCCTTAGTTCCATGAAAGGAGTTGCCACATGTTAGAAAATCGAATTCAAAATTTCTCTGCCGCAGAGGGTTGCGTTATCTTCATCTTCATCTTCATCTTCATCTTCATCTTCATCGTATCTCATCCATCTTCATCTTCATCTTCATCTTCACCTTCATCTTCATCTTCATCTTCATCTTCATCTTCATCTTCATCTTCATCTTCATCTTCATCTTCATCTTCATCTTCATCTTCATCTTCATCTTCATCTTTATATTTGTTTTGATTATATTCTTGTCTTTGCATTAGTCTTTTCCCGCCCAATTGGCGTTTAACGCAGCTATTCGTTTTCTATAACATAATAATAATAAGATTTGCTTCAATAATTTGAGTTTAACTTTTTAAACAGGTGGCCACCCTCTTCAGGCACCTCAAAATTATTTTAATTGTGTTTCTGTAAGCTCTTTCTGTACTGTATAGTATTTTAAGCGTAAGACTTTTGTATAATTTAACTAAATTTTACTTTTGAAACAGGTGGCAACCCTCCTACATTTAGCTAGAAAATACAACTTATTCAAAACCATTTCTTTTGATACCCATATTGGGATAATTCGTTTAACTTAATAAATAATTTGAATTTGATTTTCGTATATATGGCAACCCTTCAAAAGACTAAAACCATACTGCACATCTGCAGGTCAAGCCCTTTCATGTGACACCTCATTTTTGAAAATCGTACGAACGATACAGATTTTATGACTTGATGTTAAATATT